TTGAGACAGAGTCTTACACTGTTGCCCAGGCTGGAGTGCAGTGGCACAATCTTGGCTCACTGCAGCCTCAACCTTCTGAGCTCAAGCAGTCCTCCCACCTCTGCCTCCTGAGTAGCCGGGACTACAGGCATATGCCACCATGCCTAGCTAATTTTTGTTCATTTTTTATAGAGACAAGGTCTCACTATGTTGCCCAGGCTGGTCTTGAACTCCTGGGCCCAAGGGGTCCTTTTGCCTAAGCTTCCCAAAGTGCAGGGATTACAAGTGTGAGCCACCATACCCAGTCTAGAATGTAATATAGATTAGCCACCATGCACTTAATGCCTTTCCTAGTCTTTTAAAATTTAGGATAAGAATGACCTTCTATTCAATAAAGTAATTAGAATTTTCATTATGTTTACATTTGGTGCTGTATTTTTCATTTTTTAGTCATTCTAGTGGGTATGTAATTAACCTTAATTTTAAATTTGTCCCCAAACACTAAAAAGTAAATTACTCACAGATGCACAGATTTTAGAATTTTTCTTTTGTTTTCCTAAGAGACTGGGTCTTACTCTATTGCCAAGGTTGGAGTGCAGTGGTGTGATCCTAGCTCACTACAGCTCAAACTCCTAGACTCAAGCAGTCCTCCCACCTCAGCCTTTCTAATAGGTGGGACTACAGGCATGCACCACTGTGGCTAATATTTACATTTTTTTTGTAGAGACTGGGAGACAGGATCTTACTTTTTTATTCCTGGCTTCAGGCAATCCTGCCTTGGCCTCCCAAAGTGCTTGGATTATAGACTTGAGCCACTGTGCCCAGCCTAGAATAATTTTAAATGGCAAATTTTAGGCAACATATTACATTATTGATTGAAACAAACCAATGTGTTATGAAACCATCACTGAGGATTTTTTATCTAATATATGTTACAAAATACCTTTTTAAAAGTTTGCGTTTGTTCTGATCTCTTACATTTTGTTTTCATTATAGTTTTCAGTTATAGAACATAACCATGAAAGGAAACATGCAGATGACCAGACAGTCATCTTTTCAGATGAAAACCAGATGGATCTGACATCAAGTCACACTGTAATGATTACCAAAGGCCTTTTAGATAATCCCAAAAGTGAAAAGCTCACCAAGATAGATACCACATCATTTCTAGCTAATTTAAAGCTTCACACTGAGGACTCAAGAATGAAAAAAGAATTAAATTTTTCCATGGATCGAAACACTTCTTCAGAAAAGAAAATAAATTTCAATGACTTCATAAAAAGATTGAAAACAGGAAAATATAATGCTTTTCCTAATGGGCCTGATAAAGAAAATTTTGAGATACCTGTTTATTCTGATGAATCACATAGCGCCTCTTCTACACGTCAAATGCGTGTATCTCTTAATGAAGATGAGAATAACAGTAATATTACTAGGATCTTTAGAGAAAAAGATGATGGGATGAATTTCACTCAGTGTCATACAGCGAATATTCAGACATTGATTCCCACATCCAGGGAGACCAACTCACAGGAATCTAAAGGTAATGATTATACAATTTATGGCAGTGATGTTATGGACTTGACATTGAACCACACTATACAGATTTTACCCGCAACAGATAATTTTTCTAAAATAGAAAATCAAACTCAGAATGCCATAATGGATGTAACAACAGGTTACGGGACTAAAGCTTCAGGAAAGAAAACAATTTTTAAGAGTAAACAAAATGCTGCTTTTCAAGACCCTTCCATAAACCCTGCAGACAAAATACATATTACCAAAGGTCATACTATGGGAGCGGAAACTCATATACTCTCACATACTTGTAATCAAGATGCCAGAATATTAGCCATGACCCCAGAATCTATATGTTCTAATTCAGCTATTCAAGGTTGTAAGAGAGTTTTCTATTCCAGTCGTAATGATACCAAGGAAATGACCAAGTGTCTCTCAAGTATGAGAGAAGAGAAAAATTTGCTAAAGCATGACAGTAATTATTCTAAAATATATTGCAATCCAGATGCTATGTCTTGTCTCACAGAGAAAACTATTTATTCTGGAGAGGAGAACATGGATATCACCAAGAGTCACACGGTTGCAATAGATAATCAGATTTTTAAACAAGATCAATCAAATGTTCAGATAGCAGCTGCGCTACCACCTGAAAAAGAAATGATGCTCCAAAATCACATGACCACATCAGAAGATGGGAAAACAAATGTAAATTGTAACTCAGTTCCTCTTGTATCTAAGGAAAGAATACAGCAGAGCTTGTCAAATATTTTACCAATTTCATTGACTGATAGAAAGACTGAACTTTTAGCAGGTGAAGATACGGATTTGACCGAAAGTCACACAAGTAACTTAGGAAGTCAGGTTCCTCTTGCAAGTTACAGTCCAGCACCAGAGAATACCAGTGAATCTCACTCTCACAGCAAAAGCTGTTCACATAAATGTCAAAAAATGACCAAAAGTCATACCGAACCATTTCAACAACCAGACATAATATCTAAAAACAGCCTAACCGATGCCGGTAACAAAGACAAAGAGCAGATTTTGAATATTTTGCCATACCTTGATAAAGATTTTCCTCAGTCAGCTGATTGTAATCAGGACATGGCAACAAGCCATAATATAGTCTACTCTGGTGAAGTTCTTGAAAAACAAGTAGCTAATAGAAATACAGTTTCATGTGAACAATCTTTGTTTTCTACTAGAAAGCAATTCTTTTCATCAGGACAATCTTCTATGAAAATTCATAATACTACCCTTAATAGTCATACAGTGAAATCTCTACTAGGTCAGAATTCTAAACTGCCTGAGCCACTGAGGAAAAGTTTAAGTAATCCCATACCTGACTATTGTCATGACAAGATGATTATGTGTTCCGAGGAAGAGCAAAATATGGATCTAACGAAGAGCCACACTGTTGTCATTGGATTTGGTCCTTCTGAACTACAAAAACTTGGTAAAACTAATTTAGAACACACTATTAGCCAGCTAACAACAGCAAGCAGACAGACAGCTGTAAAAGTTGAAAAATGTGGTAAAAGTCCCATAGAAAGAAGTGGAATACTTATATCTAACAGTATTATGGATGTATTAAAGGATGAAAGTGTACAGAAACCTGAATTTCCTGAGGAAAAGCAAAATATTAAAATTTGGGGGAGGAAAAGTGTTGGCGGACTAAAAATTGATAAGACTATTGTATTTTCAGAAGATAAGAATGATATGGATATCACTAAGAGCTATACAGTGGAAATAAGTCATAGACCTTTATTAGATAAACATGATTGTCATTTGGTGCCATTGGCAGGAACTTCTGAAACTATTTTATATACATATGGGCAGGATGACATGGAAATCACTAGAAGTCACACAACTGCCTTAGGATGTAAAACTGTCTCACCAGATGAAATAACTTCTAGGCCTATGGACAAAACTGTATCGTTTGTAGATAATCATGATGAACTAGAAATGACAAAGTCCCATACTGTTTTCATTGACTACCAAGAAAAGGAAAGAACTGTGCTTCCAAACAGACCTAACTTTGAACTATCCCAAAGGAAAAGCCTAGGAACACCAAAAGTGTTATGTACTCCTACTGAGGAGAGTGTTTTCTTGCCAGAAAATGGTGAAAGTGACGGTCTAGTAGCAAGTGACAGCCAGCTAACACCTCTGGAGGAATGGTCTAATAATAGAGGTCCTATAGAGGTTGCTGATAACATGGAAGTGTCTAAATCAACCACTTGGGAAGACTTCAAAGATGTACAAAATCCTGGATTTCTGAATGAACCTCTGTCAGCCAAAAGTCAGAGAAGAAAAAGCCTTAAGCTAAAAAATGACAAGACCATTGTATTTTCAGAGAATGATAAAAATGATATGGATATTACCCAGAGTTGTATGGTGGAAATATATAACAAAAGTGCCCTGGAGGATAAAGAGGACTTCCATTTGGTGCCTTTGGCAGGGGCTTCTAAAACTATTTTGTATTCATGTGGGCAGGATGACATGGAGATCACTAGAAGTCACACAACTACCTTAGAATGTAAAACTGTCTTGCCAAATGAAATAGCTATCAGGCCCATGGACAAAACTGTAATATTCACAGATAATCACAGTGATCTGGATGTCACCACATCCCATACTGCTTTTATTGAATGTCAAGCCACAGAGAAAATACTTGAAGAGAACCCTAATTTTGGAATAGCAAAAGGAAAAAACTTGGGTGTTTCCTTTCCTAAGGATAATAGCTATGTTCAAGAAATCGCTGAAAAACAAGCACTGGGTATAGAAAACAAAATTGTTCTTCACACTGAGCAAAAGCAACAACGCTTTGCTTCTACTAATACATTGTCTGGGGATCAAGGTGAAATGGAAATCATCAAATTCCATAGTGCTGCCATGGATGAAAAGGTCTTAGGGAAAGTTGTAGACCAGGCCTATACATTGGAAAAAGCCCAGATTGAAAGCTGTCAGTTAAATAATAGAGATAGAAGAAATGTAGATTTTACAAGCAGTCATGCAACTGCTATTTGTGGATCCAGTGATGATAATTCCTGTTCTCCAAATGTTATTAACTATACTGATAATTTGGAGGGTAGTGCCATGCCCGTATGTGATAAAGATAAGGAAAAAGCCAATAATTGCCCAGTGCAGAATGATCTTGCACCCATATGTGAAAACAAGCCTAAAATGCTCAATAATGAGAAGTGGTTTGCTGAAGCCTATAAAAAAGAACTGAAGGAAAATACTCAAACAACTAACTGTAATACAGCTCTTGATTTCCACAGTAACTCAGACTTGGCTAAGCAAGTCATTCAAACTCATGTGAATGCTGGAAAAGCACCAGATCCTGCAGTGACATGTAATATTCACTGTTTTCATAGAGTCAAACCAAATCTGAATGATCTGAATGGAAAAACTAAAGCTTTTCAAACTGTTCATGTACCGCCTCCTCCAGAGCAATTACTTGAATTGGGAAATAAGGCACACAATGGTTTGAGTGTAGTGCAAGCTTCAGAAATGTTTAATATTAACATAATCTTCAGCAATGCTAAAGATAGTAGAGATGAAGAAAATAAAAAGACTAGTAATGGAGCTGAAACCACCTCTCTACCATTAAAGACAGTTGTTAAAGATAAAGTGAGGAGATGTTCTTTGGGAATCTTTTTGCCTAGATTGCCAAACAAGAGAAATTGCAGTGTCACTGGTATTGATGAGCTGGAACAGATTCCAGCATACACAACTGATTTAAATCACTTAGAAACTCAGCCAGTCTCTAGCAAAGATTCAGGCATTGGATCTGTTGCAGCTAAACTGAACCTAAGTCCTTCTCAATATATAAATGAGGAAAATCTTCCTATATATCCTGATGAGATCAATTCCTCAGACTCTATTAACATAGAAACTGAGGAAAAGGCTTTGATTGAGACATACCAAAAAGAGATTTCACCGTATGAAAATAAAATGGAGAAAACTTTCAATAGCCAAAAAAGAACCTGGGTACAAGAAGAAGAAGAAGATACTCAGAAGGAGAAAAAAATCAGAAAAAATGAGATTAAGTTTAGTGATACTGCACAAGATCAGGAGGTGAGCTCTGTCTTTAATCAAGGAATGTTCTTGAGTTTGGGGTTTTTAGTTTTTTTTTTTTAAATTGTGGGTATTCTCAAATTTTAATCTTAGTCTTGGGAGGCAGAAAATGATTGTTTCCACTTACAGGGCTGGAGAAATATTCTTTTGTAGAACCTTCAGGAATTAATTGCCTAACAGCTAGACTTCAAAGCAACTTAAAGTGACAAATAGTCACCAAAAAAATTAAATGAAAAATTGTACAAGAAGTAGTGTTAAAATTGTATGATTTTAAAAGGCAAATATTGTCACCTCTAGTGTTTTGTCAATTTGGGTTTATATAAGACTCTCTAGGGAGGGTATATATAGTGTGAAAAGTCATCTTCAGTGTTATATTTGGGGAGTAAAAAGCCTTTCTGTTTTGTAAACTGCATGAAATAAAGCTTGACTGAATTTTCTTGGCTGATGAGGATATGTAGAAGTTAAGATTGAGAGTCCATTTCTTTTTATTTTATTTTATTTTATTTTATTTTATTTTTGAGATGGAGTCTCTCTCTGTTGCCCAGGCTGGAGTACACTGAAATGATCGTGGCTCACTGCAGCCTCCGCCTCCCAGGTTCAAGTGATTTTCCTGCTTCAGCCTCCTAATTAGCTAGGATTACAGGCACCCACCACCATACCTGGCTCGTGTGTGTGTGTGTGTTTAGTACAGATGGGTTTCCCCATGTTGGCCAGGCTGGTCTTGAACTCCTGACCTCAAGTGATCTGCCTGCCTCAGCCTCCCAAAGTGCTGGGATTACAGGCATGAACCACTGTGCCCAGCCTTAGAGAGTCCATTTCTTTAGTGGGCAGGAGAATGCCTAGGTCATTTTGTATGAAAAGAAGCACTATTTTTTTAAGAAGACAAATTTTTTTTTAAGTCAAGAAGCACTATTTCGATAACTTGGGGAGAAAAAAATCTGTCACTTAGATCAAATTTTATAGGTGGAGACATAAAGATTAGGAAGTATCAGGCCGGGCGCGGTGGCTCACGCCTGTAATCCTAGCACTTTGGGGAGGCCGAGGCGGGTGGATCACGAGGTCAAGAGATCGAGACCATCCTGGTCAACATGGTGAAACCCCGTCTCTACTAAAAATACAAAAAATTAGCTGGGCATGGTGGTGCGTGCCTGTAATCCCAGCTACTCAGGAGGCTGAGGCAGGAGAATTGCCTGAACCCGGGAGGCGGAGGTTGCGGTGAGCCGAAATTGCGCCATTGCACTCCAGCCTGGATAACAAGAGTGAAACTCCGACTCAAAAAAAAAAGGAGATTAGGAAGTATCAGAGGTTCATAGAAAACAAGGCTTCAACTCTGTTCAATACATAAGTAAGCATAGAAGGCAATTTGAGTGGCTCTATGAGATAATGTCATGAGGCCGTGGTTAGTGATAAAGTTATGAGAAAGTAGTAATATAAAATTTAACAATAGCTTTTATTGAAATTTGCATTCTATTTTCTTTTTTGAGATGGAGTTTTGCTCTTTCCCAGGCTGGAGTGCAATGGTGTGATCTCGGCTTACTGGATCTTCCGCCTCCTGGGTTCAAGGGATTCTCTTGCCTCAGCCTCCCGAGTAGCTGGGATAACAGCTCTACTAAAAATACAAAAATACATCCAGAGTAGCTAGGATGAAGTCTCTACTAAAAATGCAAAAAGTAGCCGGGCGTGGTGGTGGGCCCACGCCTTGCTATTTTTTGTATTTTTAGTAGAGACTTGGTTTCACCATGTTGGCCGGGCTGGTTTTGAACTCCTAACCTCAAGTGGTCCGCCCACCTCAGCCTCCCAAAGTTCCAGGAATATAGCAGTGAGCCACTGTGCCTGGCCTGCATTCTATTTTCAGTAAATATATAGAGTATCTGCTATGTCTTTTTTTTGTGTCTGTTTTTGTTTTTGAGACAGAATCTCTGTCTGTTACCCAGGCTGGAGTGCTGTGGTGCAGTCTTGGCTCACTGCAGCCTCTGCCTCCCGGTTGAAGCATTTCTCTTGCTTCAGCATCCTGAGTAGCTGGGACTACTGGCGCATGCTGCCTTGCCCAGCTTATTGTTGTATTTTTAGTAGATACGGGGTTTCACCATATTGGACAGGATGGTCTTGATCTCCTGACCTCGTGATCCACCCACCTCATCCTCCCAAAGTGCTGGGATTACGGGTGTGAGCCACCACGCCCAGCCGAGTATCTGCTATGTCTTAGGCAATGTTCTTTGTGCTCGGAACGCTTACAAAAATCTGCTCTCATGGAGCTAACATAATTATTTATTTATTTGGAGACAGAGTCTCACTCTGTCGCCCAGGCTGGAGTGCAATGGTGTGATCTTGGCTCACTGTAACCTCTGCGTCCTAGGTTCAAGCAATTTTCCTGCCTCATGCTTCTGAGTAGCAGGACTACAGGTGTGTGCCACCACACCTGGCTGTTTTTTTCTATTTTTAGTAGAGACAAGGTTTCACTGGGTTAGCCATTATGGTCTCGATCTCCTGGCCTCATGATCCACCTCAGCCTCCCAAAGTGCTGGGATTACAGGCGTGAGCCACCACACCTGGTCATTTGTTTTTGAGACAGAGTCTCGCTTTGTCATCCAGGCTTGAGTGCAGTAGAGTGATGATCTTGGCTCACTGCAACCTCCGTCTCCCTGGTTCAAGTGACTCTCATATCTCAGCCTCCCGATTATCTGGGAGGATGGGTGCATGCCAACACGCCCTGCTAATTTTTGTATTTTTAGTAGAGACGAGGTTTCACCACGTTCGCCAGGCTGGTCTCAAACTCCTTGCCTCAAGTGACCCACCCACCTGGGCCTCCCAGAGTTCTGCGATTACAGGCATGAGCCACCACAAGCAGCCCATAATGGCTTTTATTTATTTGTTTATTTGTTTTGTTTGTTTTGAGATCAAGTCTTGCTCTGTTGCCCAGGAGTGCAGTGGCACGATATCAGCTCACTGTAACCTCTGCCTCCCATGTACAACAAGTTCTCCTGCCTTAGCCTCCTGAATAGCTGGGATTACAGGCATGTGCCATGACACCTGGCTTTTGTATGTTTATTAGAGACAGAGTTCACAACGTTGGCCAGGCTGGCCTTAAACTCCTGACCTCAAGAGATCTGCCCTCCTCAGCCTCCCAAAATGCTGGGATTACAGGCCTGAGCCACTGCACCCAGCCCCCATAATGGCATTTAGATAAAAGAATATATTTTTCCAAAAAACATGTAAGAGGGTAGATGAAGATGGCATTTAAAGCTGCGAAGTCAAATGGTTAAAATGATAAAAGCAGGACCACATAACTTATTCAGCCAAAGAAGTCTTGGTCAGCTGGGTTGGAAAGTAGAAGAACCGGGAAATAAGTTTATTGTCTGGATTCTAGCCAGGGCCACCACATGCAGGTGATATTCAAGTCTGATTTTCTGCAGTATGGTAGACATGCTACTGGTGGCTAGTAGCTGAATAACTGGATATGTCAACATTTGGTAGCTTAGAGGATCTGATTATAACTTAGATACATAATGAGAAATAATTTGTATACACAGTATAATCCATAAAGTTATTTTTGTATATTTTTAATAAAATTACTTTTAAAGTCTGAAGGCCTAAGATGCTTGTTACTTATTCCAATTCTTTTTTTTTTTTTTT